TGTGAACCCCTTATCGGTCGCATAATTTGCAAATATTTCCTCCACTCCATAGGTTGTCTTTTCGTTTTGTTGATGGCTTCCTTTGCTGTGCAAAAGATTTTAAGTTTGATTAAGTCCCATTGGCTTACTTTTGCTTTTATTTCTTTTGCCTTGGTAGACTGATCTGAGGAAATACTGCTACGATTATGTCAGAGAATGTTTTGCACATGTTCTCTTCTAGGAATTTTATGGTGTCATCTCTTATATTTAGGTCTTTAAACCATTTTGAGTTTATTTTTGTATACGGTGTGAAGGAGTGTTCTAATTTCATTGATTTACATATAGCTGTCTGGTTTTCCCAACACCTCTTGCTAAAGAGAATGTTTTTTCTCCATTGTATATTCTCCTTTGTCTTAGATTAATTGACCATAGGTGTGTAGGTTTATTTCTGGGCTCTCTATTCTGTTCCATTGATCTATATGTCTGTATTTAAACATTTTTGAGTATTCATTCAGTTTATTCATTGTTTTTTTTTTACTATATATTTTTATATAGTTTTTTAGCAACAGCTCTAAGGATTGTAAGATAACTAGTTATCTTTTCACAGTCTACTTTAGAACGAGTATTTCACCAGTTTAAGTAGAAGATAGATATATTACCACCATATGTGTCTCTTTACTCTCCCCCACAAAAAAAAACCCCATCACTAAACGTTCCCTCACTTGCAATGTGTTCAGTTGTGGTAAAATATATGTAACATAAAATTTACCATTCAAGCCCTTTTTAAGTGTACGGTTCAGTGGCATTAAGTTCATTCACACTGTTGTGCAATCTTTATCCATCATCAGAACTTTTCCATCATTCCAAACCATATACCCATTAAACCATAACTGCCCTACCCCTACCCCTATTCTACCTTCTGTCTCTATGAATCTGCTGCTCTAGTTACCTCATATAAGTGGAATGGTATAATATTTGTTTTTTCATAATATGTCTTGCTTATTTCCCATAACATCAGTTTTCAAGATTCATTCATATTGCAGCTTGTATCAGTACATCAATAGTTTTTATAGCTAAATATTACTTAATTGTGTGAATATAGGATAATTTGTCTACCCATTCATCAGCTGATGGACATTTGGGTTGTTTCCACTTTTTAGCAATGATGAATAATGCTGCTTTGAACATGTGTGCACAGGTTTTTGTGTGAACATATGTTTTCAATTTTCTTGACTGTATATCTAAGAGTAGAACTGCTGGATCATATGTTAACTCCATGTTTAACCTTTTGAGGAACTGTCACATACTTGCTAACACTTGTTATTGTCTGTCTTTCTTACTATGGCCATACTAGTATGTGTGAAGTGGTATCTCATTGTGGTTTTCATTTGCATTTCCCTAATGACTAATAATGCTGAGCATCATTTTATGTGCCCACCGGCCATTTTTCCACCTTTTTTAGAGAAATGTCTAGTCAATTCCTTTGCTCATTCTTTAACTGGGTTATTTATCTTTCCACTCTGGGATGACTGGTACCAGCAGGATTCTCTTCCACTCTTTCCTTGACCACACCTAGCTATTAAACTCTACTAACTCCTGGCCTATTACTCTAATGTTCTCAACAGTGCCTTTGCATTTTTCAGAGAAATATAAAAAACAATCCTAAATTTTGTATGGAACCACAAAAGACCCTGAATAGCCAAAGCAATCTTTAGAAAAACTAATAAAGCTGGAGGCGTCACATTTCCTGATTTCAGACAATATTACAAAGCTATAATAATCAAAACGTCATGGTAATGGCATAAAAAGAGGCACATAGACCAATGGAACAGAATAGAGAGTGCAGAGATAAACCTATGCATACACTCTCAACTAACCTTTGACAAGAGTGCAAAGAACACACAATGGAGGAAGGATAGACTCTTCAATAAATGATGTTAGGAACACTGGATATCCACATGCAAAAGAATGAAATTGGAACCCTATCTTACACCACTCACAAAAATTAACTTGAAACGAATTAAGCTTTAATTAAAAATTAACTTGAAATGAATTAAGACCTGAAACCCTAAAACTCCTGGAAGAAAACATAGGGGAAAAGCCTCTTGACAATGGTCTTGGCAACGATTTTTTGGATATGACACCAAAAGTACAGGCAGGAAAAGCAAGAGTAGACAAGTGGGACTACACTAAACCAAAAAGCTTCTGCACAGCAAAGGAAACCATCAACCAAGTGAAAAGGCAACTTATGGAACAAGAGAAAATATTTGCAAACCATCTATCTGATAAGCAGTTAGTATCCAAAATGTATAAGAAACTCCCACAACTCAATAGCAAAAGAACAAATAATCTGATTTTAAAATGAAGAAAGGATCTGAATAGACAGGTACACAAAAAGATGCTCAATAGACAGACACATGAAAAGATGGTTAACATCACTAATCATCAGGAAAATACAAATCTAAACCACAGTGAGATATCTTCTCATACCTGTTAGGATGGTTATTATTCAAAAGACAATAGATAACAAGTGTTGGTGAGGATGTGGAGAAAAGGGAACCCTTGTACACTGTTGGTGATAATGTCAATTTAGGTAAAGCTATTATAGAAAACAGTATGCTGGTTCCTCAAAAAATTAAAATACAACTACTATATGATGCAGCAATCCCACTTCTGGGTAAATATCCAAAGGAAACAACACCAGCATCTCAGAGAGATATCTGTATTCCCAATGTGCATTGCAGTATTACAATAACCAAGGTGTGAAATCAACTTAAGTGTCTGTTGATGGATGATGAATGGATCAAGAAAATGGGGTATATATTACATAGGCAATGGAATATTATTCAGCCATAAAAAAGAAGGAAATCCTGCCGTTTTTGCAATGGATAACATTATGCTAAGTGAAATAAACCAGACAGAGAAAGACAAATACCGTACAATCTCACTCATATGTGGAATCTAAAAATGAAGTTGCACACTCATATGAGACAGAAAATAGAACAGTGGTCTCCAGGTGCTGTGGGGTCGGGGGTGGGGGAAATGGGGAGATATTGGTCAAAGGATACAAACTTTCAGTTATAAAATGAGTAAGTTTTGAGGATCTAATGTATAACACGGTGACTATAGTTAATAATACTGTACTGTGTACTTGAAACTTGCAAAGAGAGTAGAACTTAAGCATTCTCAGCAAATAAAGGTAACTATGAGGTGATGAATACTTTAATTAACTTGACTGTGGTTATCATTTCACAAAGTATCCGTATATTAAATCACCACCTTGTACGCTTTATATACAATTTTGTCAATGACGCCTCGATAAAGCTGGGGGAAATTTTTTTAAAAAACAAACAAACTAACAGTTCCCAGGAGCAGAGCTCCTCTTAAAACTAACCCAATCACACTGTGGCTCTTTAGATGGAACAGTTTCTGAGGTCAATGTTTGATATTTGTACTAACCCCAGAAGGATTACTTACAGCTCTTATTTCCAAGTTCGCTCACACAAACTAGTTGGCTTACAATCCAGGCTTCATCTTCAGTAGATTCACAGATCTCCTCCCAACTGCCTTTTACCACAACGTCTACTGTTCCTGAAAGTAGGCCTTAGGTTTAAACTTCACCACTCTGCTGCAAATGAAGTCAATTCTTTCAGGAAAAGATTAGGAGCTATCTGCTTCAGGACCTAATTCCCTCCCCCCACCCCCACCCCAAGGCAAAATTCTGAGCCAGGGCTCTGGAGCTGGGGGTGGGAACAGTGACAAGCTTCTCTCTGAGTGACACCCCTGTTCTAGGAGCTGAGCACTTAGTGGAGGAGTGGGGGTGTGGTGGGGATGGCAGCAGCCGGCAGTCGTCTCAGCTCGCTTCTCCTGGCATGGAATCTCTGCCTCAAAGACTGGGGAAGGGGATGGGGTTTCCCTGGTGGCGCAGTGGTTGAGCGTCTGCCTGCCAATGCAGGGGACACGGGTTCGTGCCCCGGTCCGGGAGGATCCCACATGCTGTGGAGCGGCTGGGCCCGTGAGCCACAACTACTGAGCCTGCGCGTCTGGAGCTTGTGCTCCGCAACAAGAGAGGCCGCGGCAGTGAGAGGCCCGCGCACCGCGATGAGGAGTGGCCTCCGCTCGCCGCAACTAGAGAAAGCCCACGCACAGAAAAGAAGACCCAGCACAGCCAAAAATAAATAAATAAATGAAATTTAAAAAAAAAAAAAAAAAGACTGGGGAAGGGGATGGCTGTGCCCCAGGATTCTCAAGGCACCACACACCCAAAGGAGAATCTTCATTCCACAAGTAAGCGTTGGGCAGAAGAAGGAAGCGCCATCTCCTGACCACACTCACCTGAGATCTAGCCTCAGCAACAGGCAGCTAGAGGCAGAAGCAGGGATCCTACCCCTACTGCAGAGAAAATCCTCCAGTTGGGACCTGGGGGAGAGAGGGAGTCCTGTGTTCTTGGCTGCAGCGGTCCAGAGTTGAGTCTATGACTCAGTGCATCGGGAGGGGGGTTTGGAAGGGAGTGGTCTTAGTTCAAATACCGCAGACTCTCATCTTTCTTACCAAATTGTCATAGATCTTCTTGAATAGGTATTTCTTCATTTGCTGTTTGCCTTTAGGACCATTTTCAGAGGCTTTACATGAATCAGTCAACAGAGTTCCCCATGCTGTCACACCAGAAGTTGGTCTGTTTCAGTTATATTCATTGTTTAGCTGTATATGGTACTTCCAAAATTATTCATCTTTGCTGCTCACTCTTAATTTTCAATTTTTCTATAGTTAATTTGTTTCTCTCCATTAAAACAGTGATTGCTGGGCTTCCCTGGTGACGCAGTGGTTGAGAGTCCACCTGCCGATGCAAGGGACACGGGTTCGTGCCCCAGTCCGGGAAGATCCCACATGCCACGGAACAGCTGGGCCCGTGAGCCATGGCTGCTGAGCCCGCACGTCCGGAGCCTGTGCTCTGCAACAGGAGAGGCCAAAACAGTGAGAGGCCCGCGTACCAAAAAAAAAAAAAAAAAAAAAATTGCTAATTTTATATCAGGCCTCTCAATTTTTTAAACTCTTAGTGTCTAGGAAATTCATAAATGAGGCTTCTGATTGTGCTAATATTTAGAGGGAACACTCAAGACTCTGTTATTGGTTATAATTTTTATCTACAATTAGAAAAGAGAATATGTTTCTTTACCACTGTTTTTCATCATTTTGACTACGGGTTAGTTCAAGTATAGGAGGAAAGGATAGGGATGGCAAAACTGGAAAGAGGAAAAATTACTTCAGTCTGAAGTCCACACAGACTTTGAACTCAAGAAAAGGCATTAATAGGATTTCCTATTGCTGTGGGGTTGATTTGTTATGAAGTAGTCACTTTTTGCTGAATCTTGGCTGACTTCCTTGAAAGCAACAGTCAGCAAGTGACTAACCAGGCCCAGCAAGACTGATCCCAAAACAGGAAGCCACAAAATGATGAGAGACCTGGGGATGCCCAAAGGAAGTGAATAGGCTGTACTTTGAAATTCTTCCAGGTCCTGGCTTGCAAAGACTGCCAAGAGCTCTGGAAACCTTTCATGAGTGCTAGTAGGAACTTTCAGCCAAAGTGCTCTGAGAGATGATTCTTAAAAACTTGGATGGTTAGGTTTACAAAGCCTGTTAAGTTTTTACCTCCAGTTGGAATTGTGCTTCGAAAAGATGTTTGCAGGGAGGGTTCTCAGACAACCTTTTTGATGAATAATAAGGGTTTTGTGCTGATTATTCTCCATTTGTCTCCCCAAGACCCATTCTCCAGCCTTCTATGCCTGACTCGGGGTCCTTAAGAGCTGACCCATGTAGATTCATCATCATGCTCCAGTCCATTGCCAGCTAGTTTCCAGTTGGGTTTGGCCAATGAAAGACATCAACATGAAATTGGAAGATGTGAAAAGAGAAAGATAGGGTGTTTCATCCCTGCTCCCTCCTTGCTATGCCACTGCCTCTCTGGCAGAAGCTATATCCCTATGACTCTCACTGAGCCCTTCCTCCAAGGTTCCAGTCCTTACTGGGCTCTAGAAACACTAATTCCTCTCCTAAGAGCTTCTTGTGGTGCTCTTTCTGTGTGCTTCATCAGATCATTTGTTCCCATAACTGTGCCCACATCTTTTTAAGTAGTCTCTTCATACGATCCATTTGGACTAAATTCTGATTCCTGCTGGGTCCCTAACAATGACTACATTTAAAAACCTTTCATTATTTCTAAGTCTCACTGTAACCCTGCAAGGCATTATTAACATTATTAACCCATTTACAGATAAGGACATAGACTTAAACAGGTAAAATACCCAAAGTCACACATCTAGTGATGCAGTGCTGGGATCAAAACTCTAGTCCTTCTAACAAGAGCCATTTTCCTTGTTTCATTTAGATTTGTAAAAAAGTTCTAGTTATACTTTTCTTCCAAAAAACTAATTTTATTTAGATATGTCAGATTTTATGTCTGCTGTCTCATATTGATTAAGCTTGAGCCCTTATTTTGAAATAGAATTTGATGAAATTTACAAAGAAATTGCAAAATTTAAGTACAGTATCCCTGACTGATAAGTTTTAATGACTATAGTGAAAAGAAAAGACTTTTATTTAAAGCAATATGATAAAACTTGATCATCTACTCTTGTCTGCTGCTAGCATTGTCTTCTTCGCCTTGAGTTTTTTTGCCAGACACCCTTGGTTGCAACTCGACAACTATTTCCAACAACCTTATCCCTATCTTTTTACATTTTAAAGGTCAGTTCTCCCAGACTTCTCTGCAGGTATCTGTGGCCAGGTGACCCAAATCTGGCTAAGAAAAAGTGAACGTATTTCCTTCACATAAATGGAAAGAACTACTCTTCTTTGCCCTGTTCCTTTCTTCATGCTTAAAACAATGGTGTGATGCCTGGAATTATAGCAGTCATCTTGTGACCATGAGCCAGTATAAGAATACCCCAATTTTTTCATAGTATATTTATACTAAAAAGAGTATTATAATTTTATACATTATATATATACATGTATGTATTCAATAAAGAATATACTCAAGTTAAACACTGAGTTCCACAAGCCCTCAAACCTCTGAGTTTTGTTGTTGTTTTACTAAATATTGCATGGACAAAAAGAATATTTATAAAATATATGCATGACATAAAGAAAAACAATACACTGACTACCTAGGTAACCACAACCCAGCCTAAGAAAAAGAACAACCTCAGAGGCAACTTCTATCCTAGATTTTATCTTTATCCATCCTTCGCTGTTTTAAAAATTCCCTTGCTTTCCCTTGTTCGTCTCCAACTCCTTTGAAAGGCTAGGAATTGAAATAAGACTTTTACTTTTTCTTTCATTCATGTTGTTAACATATGCAACACTTTAGTCCCCCAAACACACTTTACCGTTTCAAATGCAGTAAAGATAGCCTGACAGCCTCCCTCCCTCCTCAAATTACAAGGCAAAGAGGACTGTGCAACATTAAAAACGGAAAGGTGCTCTTTATATCAGTTATCAGAAAGCCTTGAGGAGAACAGAGAAGTTCATATTTTCAGAGCTGGTTAGATAAACAGAGGTACACATGGGGTGGGGCAGGGGTGGGGAGAGAAAGAGAGAGAGAGGGTGGAAGGGAGAAAGAGGTCTTACAGTTAAGGTGGTAGGCGGTTGATCTTCGTGTGTTTTTAGAGGAGCAACTTCAACTTTGAGGTTTTGAAGGGGTTCCCCTGCCCCTGCCTGAGCTCATCCCTGGGCAGGCAGACTCCTGCCTATGCCTCCCTCCTGAGATCCTGCATATGCTTTCTTGCTAAATGACTCTTCGCACCGTTATCTCCTCACGGGATACATCTGTTGGGTGCCGCGCATCCTCAGCTCCGCTTTCATCTCTTCGTATCTCAACACATTGTTTGCTCCAGTCCTGGTGCCAGGGTGGAAGGGAGCCATCCCGCCCGTCCCCGCTCTGGGATTGGCAGCGAATGAATGATTGGCAGCGGGCATCTCTGTCAGGGCTTTGGCATGCTGCAGAGTAGAAGCCCTGTGCTAATGAAAGTCATCTACACCTACCAGATGTGCCACTGGGTGACATGCCAGATCTTTTACATAATGCCATTCTGCCGGACACGAGACAGCTGGGGCGGGGGGGGGGGGTCTTTTAATGCCTTGAGGTGGGAGTGAGAATGCCTTGAGGTGGGAGTGGGTATACCTTTTTTTTTTTTAATCCAGACTTCCCGCCACCACCCATACACCCAATCAGTCCCCCCTACATTGAGCTAAAACCTGTGGCTGAGGGCATCTCCCTCAGCGATAGCCCGGAAGCTGGAGAGCTTGAGTCCGTTTGACCGGCTCCCTTGGCTCTCTCCCACACTCATCACCTTTCCCCTTCCATGAGTTTGCTCCCCGCCACCATCTAAATTTAGGAAAGGGGAATTTTTTTTTTAAGTTAAAGATATAAAAACATTGGAGGGTCTGAAATGAAAAAAGGAGAGGGGAGAAAGGACACACCCTATCCTCTCCTTCCCTACGCTAAAAGTACAAGGATGAGCTCCCCTCACCCCTCCCCCTTCCTTTTCTACCGTCCACCGGAAACTAGATGGTATTTATCCCCAGGGGTGATATCCTGTCAGTGTCTGTCCCACTTTCTGGCTTAAGTAGTTGTCTGAAGTAACGTGGAGGTGTCCAAAAATCCATGCCGTGTGGAGAGGACTGTTTCCTGGAATGGGATGGACAAGGTGGGAGGAAAGGGAAATGAGAAAACCACTTCTGACAGGCAGCGGGTATGTGCGCGTCTAGGAGTGTTTTGGTTCCCCCCCACACACACACACACAGCTCTCCACCCGCCAAGGCGAAATAGCTGGTAGGAGGATGGACTGCCACGCGGGGCCCCCCGCTCTTTCTGTTAGACCTGCCGGTCGGTACTGACCCGGAATTCCGGGCGCTTAAAGGGGGCAGACGCCTGTTCCTCCTCCCCAGGGGCCATAGCTCCTCACACACACCTTCCCCCCACACCCCCAGGCATCCGCTCCCACGCTCGGACCCGGGCCCCTTGAGCGCCTCTGGCCGAGCTGCTAGGCCCCTTCCCTTGTACCCGCACCTCCGCCCGCTGCCGAGGCTCCAGATGGCGGCTCCTCGCGCTCGGCTCGCGGCCCCTAGACGCCGCCCGGCAGCAGCCGGCGGTCGCTCCCTCCCTCCCAGCTGCTGCGGCTGAGACCTCGACCGCTCGGCGAGGAGGGCGGGATGCTCCGCCGGCTCGGAATGGTGCGGGAGCCGGGCCGCTGAGGGGCGCGCAGGAGCCGCGTCCGCAGGGAAAGAGTCTTGCAGGCCCCAGGTGAGGAGACCGCGGGGGAGGGTGCGGGGAAGGGAGCCTGCCCGCCGCCTCAGCACCCTCACACCCCCTTCCGTCTCCCGACCTTCCTCCCGGCACCACCTCCACGTCCCCGGCGCCGGGGGCCGAGCAGGCGCGGGACCCGAGCACCCGCTGGACCGCCGGGAGCGCCGCCCAGCCGCCAGGAGGGGGCGCCCAGCACCCCGGAGATTGGGCCCGAGGGAGGGCTCCGCCTGGGCATCCGCCCCAGCCCAGTGGAAAGCTGTTCGGGCCGGAAAGGTGCCCCCTTCTGCCGGAGAGCGGTAATGCCCACCAGCTGCGACCACCCCCTTCCCCATTTTCTCCGCTCTCCTCCCTCTGCTCTTCTCTCGCGCTTCCTATTTGCCTCTCTTTTTCTCTTGCTTGCCAGGTTCCCTTCCTTCTCCCCGCCTGCCCCCTTGCATCCTGGACCTTTCCTCTCCTTCCCTGGTCCCTCCAACCGCGCGGTCAGCGTTTGTGCGCCCCCTGGGGCGGTGGGAAGGGGGATGTATTTCGTGCCTAGGCTCTGGCTCCTCTCCACGGGTGCCTCCCGGCTTTCCCCAAAAGCAGCTCTGAGAGTGGTGGCTCCTGGGGTTGAGGTTACTCTCTTCCTGGCCTGGGCCCGGAGACTCTTTGACTGGGGGACCGGGGGGGGGGGGGCTGCGTTTGGGAGCAGCGCTTCACCTGAACGCGGAGCTCGTAATTCCCTTTACTGGAGGGATGTATGAAGTTCAGCGGCCTGGTACTGAGCACCCTTCTCCCACGCCAGAGTCAGGACACTTCGAGGGCATTTTCCCTTACACAGACCCCTATAAGACCTAAAGTCCGCCTTCCCGGACAGTCCTCACTGCGGTCCTCCGTAGCAGTTGTGCTGGGATGGGGTAGAGGGAGGAAGGCGCTAAAAGGCCGCGGCGCCTGGCGTCGCGCGCCCATCTGACGTCCCCTCTAATCCCCCAGTGCTCTGGCGCGTGCCCACAGACCCTCCGCTCGTCCCTGCTCTCGGTCGTCGGGCATTAGACCCCCGAGAGCACGTTCCGTAAGCTCCCAGTACAAATCCCCTCGGAAACATTAATCACAACCACCAGAGAATGCAAAATGTGTGCCGTGCCGTGTCTGCCTTTTAATCCCGAACGTAATTCTGGAAAGCAGCATCAGACAGGGGCTCTATTAATCCCTTACACGAGCAAATGCAATCTCTGACCTACTAGACTTGTTTTCCTGCAATTTCACGAAGAGTTAGCCTCGCTAGAGGAATATTCAAAGAGAAGGAAAACCGTGAGAGACTTGAGACGCGGCGCAGTGTCGCAATAATGGGGTGCATTTCAGTCAAAAGGCGCTGCTGCTGTGGAATGGGATCGCCGGCCAGGAGTCCTGAAATTCCTCAGGGGTGGCTGCGGAGTGTGTGTGTGTGTGTGTGTGTGTGTGTGTGTGTGTGTGTGTGTGTGT